GCAAGAGACTCGAAATCGTTGCGCACAAAATATGAATTGTTAAAAAAAACCGTTCGCAAAAAATGTGCGGACATGAAACAGGAACAAATGAAAACTGGTGGAGGTCCTCGTTCCGACATACAACTCACACCTATCGAAGAAAAAATTAAAGGTAAATTTTAATGTACCTTTAAGGTTTAAACTATAAATATAGAATAGCCTCTGTTATCTGTTCATGTGGAATTTATTCATTAATATGATTATATTCTTTCTAGCTTTGATAATTTTGAGTGTAGACGGAATGAGGTCCATTTGTGATTCTGACTCGGTAAACAATTTTTTGTCGGAGATATCGTTAGCACCTGCTGATGTAGGTGCTAATATGTCTCTTACAGAACAAACATCTGCATCAGCAGGTGCTAGTTCTGAATAGGCCGGCAAAGAATTATTTATTGATACAGAATCACAAATAAACACACCCACCCCAAAGGAGGAAGTTAACAAAAATCAGAAAGAAAGTGATTGGAATGTTTGGACTCCCAAACAATTACGGAAGAGAAAGAGTAGTGTTTTAGAAAGTGGCAAACGAAAAGGTAGAGTTGAAATAAATACAGTAAGATTAGGAGAGTTAATAAAAATAGTTTACAGGTGAAAACAAAACAATTCACAACAGTTACAATGAGTATATTGAAAAAAAAAGAACTGTGCAATTTAAAAATTGCTAATGAAAAAGAACGGCACCAATTAGAAATGGAGGTACTAAAATATAAATTAGAAATTAAAAAGAAAAAATTTGCCTCATTAAAAAAAAATTAGTTTTATTATTTTGTTACATTGTTTATTAGTTATTGTAAATATATATGTTATCGCAAAGTTTCGAAATATTATTTCGAAATATGCTGCAGCTTCACTGACCCCACAAAAATCAGCCACAGCCAGCAACATATTACCCGTAGCAAAAAATCTTAATGTTAATAATAACCGGTTTGAGGCAAATATTGCTGAATTTCTAGAAAATAATATCTTTAATTTTACAAATGATACCAAATTATACAATATACAATACCTTTCCGTTCGTGGTTTAATGTTTTCTTCAACCTCTGACAACAACCGATGAAAACATTCTTTGGAAAGGCGGAACCTCTTTACGAATTCGGCGTCAGATAAATGATGAACATGATCGATTCTTTCTTTCATGACTCGGCCACCACGAATAGGAAATAATTCGTTGATTTCTTCCAGATCTTCAATCATCTCTTCGTCACTGCTACTTTCACGTTCAAAATCCATTTCAATACAAACACAACCACCGCTCGTTTCTTTTAGGTTATGAATTTGACACACGTGTGTTGTTTGAACGGTACGCCACCTCGCGGAAATAGTTGTATCACTTTTAACCTACCGGTCAGACCGATAACAGGCACCCAAAGAGGCTGTCAATGTTACGCCAAAAATAACCGGTAGGTCAACGCTAACAGTAACCTAAAAACGGTGGTAAAAGACGATTTTTGACATAACATGAGGTTAAAGATAACAGCAAGAATAACAGGAGGTGGTAAAAGTGGGCCTTAAGAACACGACCGGATCGGTAGAAAATCGGCTAGGTGTAAAGGGTTATAAACCGGCGCCGGTCCATCAGGCACGTGTAAAGCTACTCTTAGGCCCCTCGCCCACGGCGACTTTTTGTAGTGATTCGTAAACGCGCGACAGCATCGCTACTAACGCGCGTTAGTCGCATTTGCAACGCGCGTTGGTCGCATTTGCACGCGCTACAGACAGGTCCAGAGTGCTGTTGTCCGTCACGTGCGTAAAATGGAGTCGTTCGACACAGAAACATTTATTATGGCAATTCAAACCCGTCCTGTAATATGGGACTCGCGCCTTCCTGAGTATTTGAATAAGGTTGCAAAAAGAAAGGCATGGGAAGAGATAAATGAAATATTCATTCAGAATTTGGAAAAAAAACGAATATAGAAAAGAATGCTTGTGGTAAGTTATTTAATTTAATGAAATGAAAATATTTTATCATTATACATGTAAATGTTCCAGAATGAGTGAATCAAGGTACGTTTACAGCTTTTTCTATTGAATTAGATTTCATGAATTAGGTTAGACTATTTCAAATTTTTGAATCTTGCCACGGTACAGAACCTTCATCACCGGTTAAATAATCAGTATAAATGTTTCGGATTGCAGTACCAAATAGTTCTGATCTTCGTCTTCCAATTGAATGTAAATTATCACTGGCAGGTGGGTGGATCTTGGAACCCAACTATACTCAAAGTGTGATCAAACTTATACCCATCTCGCTTACGTATGAAATTGTGTAATACGCAACACGCTTTAACAATATTCGTAGCAAAATCAATATTAACGTTTATGGGCCGGTTGAAAATTTTAAATTTGTTACTCAATATACCAAACGTACATACAATATAACGCCTTGCGCGCCTCAAGCGGTAATTGTATATTCTCTTATTTCGTGGTAAATGTTTACCAGCGTATGGTCTTTACAAATGTTGTGATAAGGCAAATCCTTCATCACCAATAAACGAAAACGGTATAGGTATTCCATTGTTAAATATAGGTCTTGGTTGAGGTATATTATAATTTCCTTGTCGTAACTTTTTTACCCATTCACTGCTGTCATGTATTGTTGAATCTGAGCTCTTTCCATAGCATCCGACATCTATATCTATGAAAGTGTAATTAGCGTCACATATTGCTAGCAACACGATGAAAAAAAAGGTTTTTAATTGTAATATTCTGAGCCGGTATGACATGGTTTTTTATGACACGTATTTCTGCGTGTCAACTCTGGTTTTACAATGGAAAGCAATTCACGAAACGTCGAATATGACATTCTATAACAACTTCTAAATTTATGCTCATAGTTTTTTAGTATTTTAAACGTTGTTAATAAATATGTTAATAATTAATAAATATGTGATTGGTTTTAGATACCAGAGACTATTACATACTGCTGTTGTTACACGCTATTTTACAACCACCACGTTTATGTAGGACGTACAAACCCCCCATAACAGATTCACAACAGGATTTTGCATTAAGTGATNAGGCACCGAAACCGGCTGTCAATGTTACGCCAAAAATAACCGGTAGGTCAACGCTAACAGTAACATAAAAACGGTGGTAAAAGACGATTTTTGACATAACATGAGGTTAAAGATAACAGCGAGAATAACAGGAGGTGGTAAAAGTGGGCCTCAATCATGTTTTTTGCAAACTTCAAGCGAAGTTTACGATTTCTGTCGTTTATAAAGAATTTTTTTCGAGCACTTCTACCATTATACCCTGCACTTCTAATAACGCGGCGTATGGTTTCAGGGTGTACGCATTTTCCTCCATTACTTTCTAAATTAGCCGCAATCTTAGGGGCACTCAAGCGAGGATTCTTTTTAATTTCTCGCACAATAATTCGTTTTTCCGCCTCATTTAAAATACTTGGTGCGCCACTTCTTGGTTTATTTGTTACCCTACCTTCATCGCTGAAGCGCTTTATAATGTCATGTACTGTTGAACGACTAATCTTCACAATTTTAGAAACTTCCCGAACCGATTTTCCTTCTTGATGATGGGCAATAACCAATTTTCTTATTTGAATGGTCGTTTCTGATCTTTTCGGTGCCATTGTTGCAAAGATAGAAATAATATTGTTGTCTTCACACAAACTTTGTATTTGACATTAACAACAATCAAATTTATAATTAGTGGTACTATCTCGAGTGTCCGATGATTTATATGTGTATACTTCCACAGTCTATCCGAATTTATTTTATTTATTGTCAAAATGTATGTAACTTTACAGAAAATTTTACTAAATTATTCAAGGAAATGTCTCTAAGAATATACTAAATACACTAAAAAAGGGGTAATAAATCAATTGTGAAGATAAATATATATTTCATGTATAATACATAAGTGTCCGATCACTTATGTGAGTCACTGTACATCGTAACCGCTTAAATTATGAAAAAAAAATGGGGATGCTATAGTCTACTTTGATTTGTAAATTACAGTTAGAACATAAAGGATATATAAATTTTCCTGTAAAATGATCGTGATGTTTGACTTTGGGATTTGTGCTTGTAAAATTGCAAAAACAGATGGGACAGTTATTTGCGGAATGGAATGCGTTCTTTTCTGCTCGCGTCATGGGATGCATACGATTTGTGGTGCTGGCTTTTAGGATTATGTAAAGTTCATTACTTAAAAGTTTTAATTGTTCAACGAACCATATTTGAGGATCTTGTCCTCGATACATTTTAAAACTATTGTAGCACTCCTTAAACGAGCAAACGATGTTAAATGCAACACTGCATGCTTCATGTAATTGATAATTTGACATGCATGACATTAAGTTTAAATTAGAACAACCATCAATTTTTTTTAGTAAAGATTCAAAGTCTGCGTAAATAACGAAAGGTTTCCTAAATAATGCTTTAAAATTTTTAAAATGCAGAGTATTTTCTTCGGGAATTGTTAATTTAACTGCTTTATGATCACTACAATTTAACGAATGTTTATGTAGTAGATCTTTTGAATTAAAATGGTTGAGACAACGATCGCAAATAAATAATTTGTTTCTATTTTTGGTAATAGATTTAAATATAGCGGAGCTAAATCATGTATTAAGCAGTAATGATGCAAATTATTTTTTTCCAAAATTAGTAAATTACAATGATTATCTTTTATTTGAGTGGTGTAGATGCAAAATTCACATTCTCCACTTTTCCAAATTTTCGGAAAAACGTAAAAAACTAGGACGTATTGAAGTTCAAGTTGTATTACTGCAATTTTTTTTTTAATTTAAATTTTGTAACCAAATAAACTGTTTACTTGCACTGCAAACCTTTGGGTGCGTTCACACGTATTACTCGAGTAGAGTTAATATGACGTCATGTATACTCGTTGTGTATACATGTGTCGTAGTGTATTTGTTATATTACGTCACACTCGATTTCGTTCTAACCTATAATATTTATCTAACTTTATTAAGTAAGTAAAATGGATAAGAAAATATGCAAAAAACTGCTAGTTTCTACAATGAGTTCATTCATATATAATTTATTTAAAACTGGTGAAGTAAGTAGAGTAAAAAGATACAGTTGTTGTTAGAAGATATATCATTTTATTTTATTTTTCAGGACACATCTGATGAAGATGATGAAATGACGATCAATTGTATATTACTCAATTTATCACAAAAGGGTGATAAACCACCACGAATAAGTGGTTATGTAAACCATGTAATAGAGAATTTAAGTGACAAAGAATTTCATAGTCACTTTCGTATACCTTACGAAGCTTTTGACTATTTATTAGCCAAATTGTCACCACATTTACAAAGCCAAAAGCCTGGTCCAGCAAATGTACCCAGTAATGTACAATTATTATCGACAATTTGGTTGTTGGCTACTCCTGATTCTTACAGGTAGAAATTTATTTTCTGTGAAGAAACCTATTTTAATCATTTATTTTTTTTTTAATGTTTAGATCAGTTGGCGAAAGATTCGATTTAAGTAAATCAACATTGTCCAAATGTTTTATAAGAGTTGTTAAAGCCCTCTGCAACCTGGCACCCCAACATATTAAATTCCCGCAGAGAAATGAGTTTAATTAATTTAAAGAAAATGTAGTGACCTATCTAAAATCCCAAATACAATTGGTGCGATAGATGGTACTTACATATCAATCAAAGCACCAAAACAAGATCCCGAATGCTATAGCAATAGAAAGTGTTTTCATGGGATAACGTTACAAGCAATATGTAGCCCTCTTTTAACATTTATGGATTCTTTTGTGGGATATCCAAGTTCAGTGAGTGATGTAAGAATATTCTCAAATTCGCACATTTATGCAGACATAAGGAATAATCCAGAAAACTTCTTTCCAAATGGGGAACATATATTGGGGGACAAAGCATACCCCTCGTTAAATTGGCTTTTGGTGCCGTATATTAACCGGGGAAACTTGACACAAAAGCAGATATATTTTAACAGTCAGCATGCAAAAGCAAGGCAAATGATTGAGAGGGCATTTGCTCTGTTAAAGGGACGGTTCCGTCGCTTAAAATATCTCGATATGAATCGAACAGATTTGATCCCCGCAACTATATTGGCAGCGTGTGGGTTGCATAACATATCCATTATGTTTAATGATCAACTTGTTGAACAATATATAGAAGAGGCTCAACAACAAGTAGGTGACATTGAAGGATTTAATGGAGAAATTCTTCAAAATGGTTTACACAAGAGAAATCTAATAGCTGAAGAATTGTAGAATAGTCGGTAACAAACTGCCAATGATCAGACTATGTTAATGTACTGTTTAAAATCGTAATTTAATAAAAAGTTTATTTTTCAACATTAACAAATATTTGTTTATTCAATAACACAAAATTATTTTAAACATTTTTTAACAAAAATAACTCAATAATCAGTCGTAAACAAAATGGTAACACAAAAAACGAGATTATTAAATAAAAAAAAGTGAAGGAGACAATATTAAATATTTTTGAACAAAAATAAACTATAAATAAAATGAAACAAAAATAAATATTAACTAAATAATAAGATGTAGACAAACTAGTAACACAGAAAAAGAGATCTTCAAATAAAAAGGAATTCTCCTATCTCAGTAGTCTAAATCTACAATTTTTCTATAAGTTTGTTCATCGTTTCCTCAAACACTTTTAGAACTCTTAATTGAGAGTTCATCATTTCCTCATGTCTTTTCCTTCTTCTTTCTTCTCTATTATTCTCCATTCTGTTTAATTCTTCAATCAATTTGTCAGATTTTGTTTTCTTTTTTTTTTGTTTAGTCTTTTCACTTCCCTTAATATAAAATGACGTTAATATTTAAAAACAGAAAAAAAAAAAATTTATTTTGAAAACTATGTAATTACCTCACGTTTTCTTTTCTTGCTACTACTGCTGCTATCGCTATCTAGATCTTTCTCAATTAAAGAGTTGTTTTGCACTATATTCTCTCTGCTTGATGAAGCTATTGCTAGTGGTTCTATGTTTGGTTTTTTGCCAAAAAGCTCTTCCATTTCATTATAAAATTCGAATTTTATCACTGCTGCCCCCGACGCTGTCGGCTTCATATTATCTTTTTTCTTCTGATATCTTCTTTTTAAATTCTTAAATTTATTTTCACATTGTGAAGCACCAAAGTTTAAATTATTTGCTTTCAATTTTTCCGAAATCATTTTCCACACTGTGTCATTGCGTATTGTTGATGATTGAAACAATTGCTCATTTTTCTTATAGGCATCAACCAACATTAATGTACCATTATATGTCCGTCGTGTTTCTGTGGTGGATTGTGTAGCTGGATTATTCTTAATATCATTATTTTCATTTGTTTGATCAGTATTTAACAATTCTCTTGGCAACCATTTCAACTGAATACCTATAATACTTCTAATTTTAATACCTTCAACCAAAGTATTGTAAACTTACCCGACTTATCTTGCACGAGTATATCTCCGTTTTCATTTGTAATACAATTACGATGTTCGTCATAAACAATGTCGTTTTCCATTTTTTCTTATTATTTTTATATAAAATATAGAACAAAGACATACATAACCTACAAATATGTTTAACAACGGTTTCGGACACTTCGAACTATTCTAAACTATTGCGAGGATTCATCGCTTTACGTTTCTACGCATGCGGTGTTATTTCTACACACCGTCGAGAGGTGTGTAGAAAATGTTAACTCGGTGTTAAATTGCTATGTTGTCATGAACGATTTACCCGAATAAAAGTGTAGGAATGGATGTCATTATGAACGACTAGGGTTAAACCTGGGTGAATCGAGTAAGCGTTGTGAACGCAACCTTTTAGTTGAAGAGGTTTTTTTGTAATTTTATTTTCAAACTGGTAAAATGTGAGTTTTGAGCCAAAATATGGTCAAATGTGAGTTTTGTAACAAATTCACATGGATAATGTTAGTTTTGAAGCAAAACAGTATCACATCTTGGAATCAACTGGTAACAAAGGAAGTAAATGCATTAGCTATAATGAACTAACTTTATTGCAAAATATAATTTGGAAGTAGAGGTAAGTTAATATTTTTAGATATTAAAGATATTGACTTCTTCTGTCGGCTCACATGTTGGCTCATCTTCTTCATTGTCTTCAGCGCCATCAATAATATTTTTATAAAATACCAAATCTTCAATCTCTCTCCACTGATCCCCATAATGTTTCTTTAATAAGTTGTTGACGTCAACTTTTTTGGATTGCTTTATTGCGTTTGACCTAGGGATAATAGTTGGTTTCATATTTAAATACTGTTTACCAGGCTTTGCTATAGATTTAGGCACTCCAAGGTCGGATTTGTATGTGTACTCTCCTCTAACGAGTACGTTCTTTTGATTGGTTTTTGTCAAAATTATTCTTTTGCAGGCTCCTAGTTTAAAATGAAATTTAGCAGGTTTGATCATAAAAGTTTCTTTTTCTTTTTTCCAATCAAAAACCTGACAATCAACACCAACATTTACTACCTTGGATTGCTTACTAATAATATCAATGTATTCTGATGGTTTGTAAATCACTTCTTTTTTCCTTGTAGCCTTTTCGGTGATTCCAAATACTCGGTCTGGGGGAAGGAAGCTGTGACCTGTTACAGGGAAAAAGAGCTCAACTTTTGTGATATTTTTTGGTGCATGTTTGGAATGCCAGAAACAAAGCATGGTTACAACTATCGAGTTTATCATTTATTTTGACCCCCACATCCATCACACACTAATCGAACGGTATCAATGGGCACTTCTATTTCGGTTGTTAACAGTGTATTAAAAACACACGAAGCAATTTCGTTGGATCCTTTTTTAAACTCGTTTTCTGTCCAAATGTAAGCTGTCACATTTTCTGGATTGAGTCTACTTTTCGAATTTCCCTTAACTACAGTAAAGTTGTTCAAATATATTTGCCTACTGTAGTACGTGGCTTGGTCAGGCAATTTTGGTAATGGTAAGTTCTTTTGACAGTCGTAGCTTAACATAAAAACATTAGGGTCGGTGTTGTTTAATGCTGCATAAAAAGCTTTAGCACGCAATTTATGAATACGTTTTTCAACCATAAGCTTCTGTCTGTCCTCAATGTTGGAGTAGGTATGTTTTATTTGTTCATCTAGCTGTAGACAGGTAGAGCAAACGTCAACTCTTGGTGAACCAAATCCAACATTGTACTCCGTGTTAAAAATAGTTCTGAAGTACCATTGTGTTACTTTTAAATCACTCTGATCCTCTGTGAGCGAACTATTATACTGTTTCCACATTTTTTTAACATTTAGCTGAGCAGAAAGGTATTTTCTACCTGTATGTTTGGCGCAATAGTGAGGCTCTGAACATTTGAATGTGTTTATAAAACGCATAACATTCTCTTTCTTAGGTATATATTTATTTGAAATCCTGTCACCCCCTCTGTTTTCTTTAGAAAGCTGACCTGTTTGTCTAAAACGATTTAAAATACCATTCACTCGAAATCTTGAAACTTTTAGAACACCTAAGAATGTATTAAGACATACTGGTATCATTGATTTGTTTTTAGAGCCTATAAAGTATTTGGTTCTTAAGGACTGCTTTTTGTAGCGTCCAGAAGTTGATCTCCTTCTCTTAATATCAACTGATGAAGTAAACTTTAAAATAAAGTTGTCTTGGCAAATCTTTTCTTTTTGGAAGTAGAAGTTCTGATGAAATCTCCTTATATCTTGTAGGGACACTGTTAAGCACTGAAATTTTCCGCCGTTGTGGTTGCAAGATGGAAATGCTGGTAAACTGTTTGCTGAGTACCTAAAAAAGAAAGAAAGAGCCGAGTATAAAACATTGAACTAGCCTTGGACTATAATGCTAACCTTGCTAATTTGGTTTCGTTTCGTTCCCATTTCTCAGGAGCCTTTTTCTTTTTTCTTGTTAATCCGGTTGATGGTTGCACTAGTTCATTCATTATGCACTATATAGCTTTGTATAATAATAATGCAACAGGTTATTTTAAATTGTGAGGTCGACGAAAACATAAACAGAGGGCAAAGACGCCTACTTGTTTTTGCTACACGGTCTGTGACTGGTTGAAATGGAGAAAGTTAATTTTGTAGCAGAACAACTGTTGGATAATGTGACTTTTGTTTCAAAACGCGATTTTCACTATAGTTTTGTGGTGTTAAACTGTAAGTTTTGCTGTAAACTGCTATCAGAATTTGATTCGCTTTAACAAGACCAACACGGTGATATATTTAACTCCATATCTTAAGAAAATGGAGAATGTGAGTTTTGCATCTACACCACTCATTTGTTTTGTATGATAATATGGTCCTACTAGTTCTAAAGCATCATTGAATCCGAAAACATTAATAGACATTGTAGGATTCTGTTTTTCAAATTTACTAATATCCGACAATTTAAGAGGAAAATCTAATCCACGCAAATTAAAGATCTTTTCAATATTGTAATAATTATATGATCGCGCCTCTATCGAGTTGATTTTATATATAGAAGCTAGTATACAATAAATAAAACACAAATTATCGTTTAAATTTCGAATATTAAGAATCGCTCCTTTTTTCCTATTACTTAAGTTACTAGGCAACTCTATATAGCTACTAGAGATGTGCGCGTGAGTGATTTTTTATGCCCGCTCACGATCTATCCCACGCCGGTCACGCACGCCACTCACGTGAATATTATATATGAATCAAGTGACTCACGCGTGATTCACGAGACTCACGCATAATCACGTAATCAAATGTGTGAATCATGTTTGATTAGTTGTTGTTTTTGATTTTATCTGGTTCGCGTTGGTTAACACGAATTCTTTTAGTTTTTGATTTATTCGATGTTTATTAATTATTTATCTTAGACGATGAATACGGCGTGATGCCAGCGAAACGAATTTTTTGCTACTAACTCATTTTTTTTTATTTGTTTGTATCGACGAACACTAAATTTTCAAAGCACACTAACATTAAAAAAATTGATCAAAAATATAAAATAGGCAACCCAAGTTGCAGGTAACAATAATTCTAATTAATCTAAACAGTTGTTAATTTGATTATTAATTAATCGTGTGTGACTAATGACAGAATTAACAGGGAGTTTATTTTTTTTTATGTTTTGTTTAGCTTTCATTTATTCAAAAAGTCAAAAGTAATAAAATTAAAATAAATAATAAAAACTAGCATATTCATCATAAATTTAAATTTAAATAAAATTTTTTTTAATTTATTTTTTCTATTCTATTCTAATTTGTTCTTCATTAGTTTGTAGAATGTTTTTACAATAAATATCGTCCGATTACTGCCAAAACACACTAAGTGACATTTTGATATTTTGGTCCAATCGGGTCACGCCGGGTCCCGTCAAAATTAAAGTTGCTCACGATCACGCACGCTCACGTGAGTGGTATAAAAATTGATGCCCGCTCACGGTGGGTCACGCATGACCCATCGTGACTCACGTAATTTACACATCTCTAAGGCCCTCCGCACACGGGACGACTGATTTGCAATCGGAGTTTCAAATCGGTTGGGGATGCAACCGTTTGGCGACATAGTCTGTATACGAGAACGGGGATCCACACACGGGTCGATAAAAATGTGACCGATTTGCAATCAGTATCCAACCGGTTGCATGCGACTGTTTTTCCGTGTCGCGAGACGGTTTCAGTTGTATGGTTGCGTGTTTTGTAAACACGTTTTTGTTTCTTTCACGCTGTTTTTATTTTCGGCATGGATCAGGAAACTAATATTAAGTTTGTTAAAGAACTAGAAAAGCATGAAGTGCTTTATAATTACCATCTTTCTGGATATTCAAGGAAAGACATCACGGAAAAAGCATGGCAGGAGGTGGCGGCTAAAGTAAATATGTCAGGTATGTGAAATACTTATGTTATTCCTTTATTTTTGTTATTATAATATTATTAATTAAGGGCCGATTTCATAATCAAATTAAAGGTTATGTTAAATTGTATTTTTCCGCTATTTCCATAGGGAAATTAAGGGAAATTTAAAATTTTAATGTTTGACTATGAAATCGGTCCTAATAATTGTGATTATAAGACAGGAATTTTAATCAGCATTCTAACTATTTGATGAATTAATTAAAATTTTAATTGATTACTGGATTACTTACTGTGTATTTCCATTGCCATGGTAGAGATCCACGATGAGAAACGAAATAGTTTGCCAAATAATTTCTCATAGTAACCGCAGAAGAACAGTCGCGTATTAGGACTTGTCTTTGTATGTTGTTAGGTACTTCCACCATTTCATTTTCTTCTATTACTGGAGTTCTGTATTCTATCCCCTCTCGTTTACGCACATAGTTGTGAAGAACGCAAGCAGCTTTTACTATGTCATTCACTATCTCTGCATTGCGACATCGTATTGGCCCGTTTAAAACCACGAATTTTTCTGACGCCATTCCAAACACACATTCAATAGTTTTTCTTCCATGGCTCAATCTATAATTAAATACCCTTTTCACATTGTCGAGGGTTTTCTTTGAATACGGCCTCATTAAATTTCTTGACAATGGGAATGCTTCATCTCCCACAAAATAGTATGGAAATGGAGTGTTTGTTTCGTCGTATCGCAAAGG